GGCGGCCACCCAGCCGACCACTTAGAATGTTAGGGTAATTGCGGTTTGTGAAGGTGTGAATGAGGTCAGGTAGGTCAATGAGCGGCACACAACTGTTGTGGGTGGTCTGTCCATTCGGTACTTTGTTCGTTATACGAACCAAATGGGGTAATCTGTTTGTGATGATCATATACCGGACCATTCAATATAAAACAATAATTCAGGGACATTGTGATCTGTCCCAACATCTATCAGTGAACACCAGTATAAGGGCTCCCTTATGGTTCCCTGGCACTTCTCAATGACTCACAGCACTGTAGCCAGTGCTGTGTCATTAACTGGGGTAGGTGAAAGAATTTATGTTCTTACAGATGACGCCGTTGACAGACCACAAAGCTACCCCACTGGACCAGTGATCCAGCTCACCTTTCACAGGACCTCAAGTGAGCCAGCTCACCCTCCACAGGACCACCAGTGAGCCAGCTCACCCTCCACAGGACCACCAGTGATCCAACTCACCCTCCACAGAACCACCAGAAAAAGATAAGGACACACATACACTCAGACACACTAAAACTCCCCTATACACACAGACACACACACCACTCCTCCCTAATTGGTGTGGTGGCTGAGAGCTGTATTTAGGGAGGAGTTTAATTATATTCATAATGATAATCTCAGAACATAACAATATTATCCAGATACTGTAAAACCTTGCCAATATTCTTCTTTTAATACAAAGTAAAGAATATGGCATAACAGATTATTATTATATTCCCAAAAAATACATAAAATGAATTAAGCAACATTGCTAAAAACATACATTTGTCAAAATAATTTTATGTATTTTTTGGGAATATAATAATAATCTGTTATGCCATATTCTTTACTTTGTATTAAAAGAAGAATATTGGCAAGGTTTTACAGTATCTGGATAATATTGTTATGTTCTGAGATTATCATTATGAATATAATTAATATCACATATATATATACATGTTCTTAATTTTTTTCTTATTAATTGTGGTTTTTCTCCGCTCTTCGAGCGGTGGAACGCATATCAGGTGGAACGCATATCAGGTGGAACGCATAGATAGAGATCCGGAAGAGAGACGTGAGCCGCATTTCCGGTTGCGTCAACAGGTCGCACCCGGAAGTACTACAGATAGACGAACCCGGAAGTAAGTGAACAATTGGAGGATTTTTTCGGCGCGCCAAACCGGACGGATTTAAAAGCCAGGTACATTATGTGGACAATTATGCCTGCATAAAGAAGGACTTTTTTGCCCCTGAGGAAGTTCAAGGACGTTTGAACGAAACGCGTAGGGCTTTGTTATAGCATTTATAGTGTTTAGAGTTTTTTATTATCTTATCAGGTTGTTTTATTTTATTTTATTTGGACCTGCTGGTTATATTTGATCCTGTTGATCCTGTGATTCATCCTATGATCCCAAGACCGGTGGTTTCATATATGCCTGTTTGCCACTACAATATTGTAAGTGTGCCTTATTATTAAAGTGTATTTTCTTATCAAGATACTCTGCACTATTATGCTGTTTTATTTCCTTCTATGTACATCCTGACGTTCCACTTATCCTGAGATATTCATCGTTCTATAAGATATGCCTACTAATCAATTTTGGTTTGTGAGTGTGAATTATCATCTATATTTCCACTCTTTCTTTTTCCATCAACAGTATTATGCTATGTCTTTTTCTGTTATTATTGTATTGTAGATTTATCCCTATTTTTGTTCATATTTGTTGAGGACCTGGAGGAGTCCTAATCTGCAATACATTTAGTTCAAGGGTAATTATTTAGTTTTCTAATTATTACCCACTATAAGTGTGTTCTATCCACAAGTGGGTGAATCTGTACTTTTTCTATTTGGTTATTGGTAAATAAAAAGCCTTGGCAGCCAAGGAAGTCATTGTAACAGAAAATGAAATGTTGGAAACCCAGTGTTAAAGCAGGAGGTATGATCTATAACTCGGAGACCCGTGTTACCTGGACACTCTCTGTGGGTTCTGTGCATCTGGCCTACTGATACCAGGAAGGTCCCACAGTTAGTGGAGCATGTGGATTCCATGTAGCACACACACAGTGAGAAAACCATTACCATCGCTATTCATGTTAATTCATTTAATTACAGGGTTATTCACATTGGTGGTCATTCAAACTGGATTGAAACTGAATTGATAGATAAGCTGGAAATTGTCCCAGAAGTCAGCTATGTTTTAAGTTTCATTATTTGGGACTAAAATTTCACTTTCAGGGTCAGGGTAAACGTCATGGGCAGCATCAGAATTGGTGAAGTGGACAATGTATTTTCAAATCAAGTAGAGAGAGTAATGACCGTTGCCCTGGGAGGCCACAGGCTAGTCTGAATATGTGGGCTTTAGGGATTTCTTAAAGGATTGAAAAGTAAGGCAATGCCCCAAACCTCCATTATAATAATATGGGGTTCATATTATCACACCCCCACCCCATAGGTGCTATTTTTTAATTGACTTTTTTATTGTGACTGCTGGCTTGCAAACACTGGCCAGTCACCACATGCTTAACCCTTACACTGCCAGGAGGTTTTAACTATTTCCCAACTGGCTGCAAGCGCTGCTAGTGTGCAAATAGTACTTAAAGGACCACTATAGTGCCAGGAAAACATACTCGTTTTCCTGGCACTATTGTGCCCTGAGGGTGCCCCCACCCTCATGGACCCCCTCCCGCCTGGCTCTGGAAGGGGGAAAGGGGTAATAATTTACCTTTTTCCAGCGCTGGGCGGAGAGCTCTCCTCCTCCAATCCTCCTCTTCTCCTCCTCCTGGGCTGAATGGGCACGCGCGGCAAGAGCTGCGCGCGCATTCAGCCCGTCGCATAGGAAAGCATTTAATATGCTTTCCTATGGACGCTGGCGTGCTCTCACTGTGAAAATCACAGTGAGAAGCACGCAAGCGCCTCTAGTGGCTGTCAATGAGACAGCCGCGAGAGGAAATAGGGGAAGGCTTAACCCATTCATAAACATAGCAGTTTCTCTGAAACTGCTATGTTTATGAAAAAATGGGTTAACCCTAGCTGGACCTGGCACCCAGACCACTTAATTAAGCAGAAGTGGTCTGTGTGCCTAGAGTGGTCCTTTAAATTGATAGTTCGCTTGTAAGCAATAATTTATGAATGTGCATTCTGTTAAATTTATTTGGTTGCAAATTCTAGATAAATCACAACCAGAGTCCTTTAATTTGTAGAGGGTTCGGAGGTGAAAGCACTGAGTTTAATTCACACACCAGATGCAGCTGGGTGATTGCGGCAGATATGGTTAGGGTTGGCTGCATTCTGTCCAGAATTGGCTTTAGTAGATAATAAGATAATTGCAGTGTAGTCACAATTCGGCAATTTTCACCATATTTTGCCAATCTGGACAAAGTCTGGTGTTTAGTGAATAGCTCTGAATATTTTTAGAGCCAAATTTGGCTCTGTCTTTTGTAAGTGGGTATCTGAAAAACGGCAGCTACTGTGATGAATCCCAAAGAAAGGTTTCATTTTGTTAAAGCAATCCCATGATTTCCCTTTCCTCTCTGTTTCTTTGTTTTATAAAGTTTTTTTTAATATCATTAAAGTTGTATCCCGTTTAATGACACATGTAATAATTGTTGTTGGTTTAACAAATACTGTCTCAATCTCTGACAGATCTATCGATCTTTCTGCCGTCAATAAATAATGATTGGAAGAGTTACTTTGTACACGCTTTACATGTTTACACATACTAAGTAACATTGGGAATACATACTGTGTACAATAGCCTAGCACATGCTACAAAACTTTACAACTGAAGTAATTCTGAAGCATAACATAATACAAGTGAGTGACATGTTACGGGTAATATAGGAAACGCTCTGTTATAGAAAGCCTTATAGACACGTGGAGTAGCCTTCCAGCAAAGGTGGTAGAGGCTCAGTGGAAGAGTTCCTGGATGCATGGAGTGGACACTGATTACCTGACTCCCATTGAATAATAAATACTGAGCTAATATCAGAGCAGGCTGGATAGTTGGCTCGTATCTGTGACTCTATATAACACACCGACTCTTGCAATACAGGGAAAGGATAGGTGAATAGACGATGTTACCTCTGAGATTAAAGTTTGTACGAGATGATTTCCTATGTCTTGTCTTTTCTGGGATTTCTGGTACCTCCCTGGCTCGATCCATGT